TTTGTCTGAATTTGACAAGTGAACAACCTTTGTCTTCACATGTTACTAAACACAAAGAAAGATACTCTGTAGCTTTGAATCTGATAAATGGGTTAAGAAAATATTACACGATTCCTTAATTTTCAGACCCAAAGAAAAAACATATTTATTAGGAGATTAGGTAATGGCAGCCTCAAAAAAAAAAAAAAGCTTCCAAATATCACTATTACAATTGGTATTAATTTATGCAATGAGAGTAAAATGGTTTTTTTTTTTGGGGCTGTAACATATGTTCTATGCATCAGTAGCCATCTCCATGTTTCCATCATTAGATTTGTCTTTTGTCTAAATGATTGAGGAAGTTCCCAAGCAGCCTTTGATCCGCTTTTTAAATATTGCTAACATGCTAATTTATTTGGTATTTGGTTTGAAATGTTTAAATTAGCACCATTATCTCAAATTATGTTTTCATTTAAATCCCTTTTGTTCATTTCTTTGAAAACATAATGCAAGTTGGTGAAAAATTCAATAAAAAACTTGGAAATGCAAACTAGTGTTAAAGCCTACATTAAACAAGACTCACGAACAAATTATGCACATCTTGAGTCAGCATTTTTTCAAGTTTCCCCAACTTCCTGCAAACATTCTAATTTGTTAATTTGTTTATCAAATCTTTAAATCTATATGCTATTTCTAACCTTTTCATCATGATTTTCCTTTGCAGAGAAATACTTGAGCGTCATATTGTACATTTAATCGGGTAAATCTCCACCTACATGTATTTTCAAACATGTTTTAAAACCCACATATGATGCAAAAGATAATCGAGTTAAAGTAAAATATAGATATTAAAGTCGATTTGTAGTATTTTAAAGTCTAATCTAACAATTCGATATTTGAAGTCAAGCTTCCTGCATAGACAAGGTTAGCCGCAAAATAAACCATTCATATATAAGATTTACAATGTTATTTCTAACCTTCCGGGAGAAATACTTCATATGTGATAAATGGTAGTTTGAAAAGCAAGTCTTAGCAGCGCTAGATCAACGCGATCAGGATTATGGCCAAGAGATTAGCGGTTGTAAAATCAAGAAACGTATGTTGAGGAAGACGTCATTTTCTCTCCAATAGTGTCAAAATCGCTGGCCAATTTCCTAAGCAACACAACGAAAGTATCATACATCCTATAGCTCCTGCTTTGCTCTCAACCACATACATCTTCTTATGACTTTGTAAGCCTCCAGCGACGCTTGATTTGAGCGAATTCATGTCCTCCATGTTGCGACCCGCTATCGTATTAACCAAACCAACCAATTGACTACGAATATCAACAGTCGCCTTTACCATTTCAGGAGTTATAGCTCTTGCTGCCTCTAACGAAGCTTTCACTGCATCTGTTTCAGCTCTTGATAACGCTAACTCAGCTTTTGCTGTATCTAACTCAGGTCATGCTGCCTTTAACTCATCTCTTGCTGCCTCTAACCAAGCTTTCACTGCATCTGTTTCAGCTCTTGATAACGCTAAGTCAGCTTTTGCTCCATCTAAGTCAGCTTTTGTTGCATCTAACTCAGCTTTTGTTAACTTTGCCTCAGCTTTTGCTGTCTCTAACTCAACTCTTGAAGCCTCTTCCTCTCTTGCTTTCTTATCAGCCTCTTCCTGAGCTCTTCCTTTTTTAGCAGACTCTGCTCTTGCTTTTCTTACCTCGGTTTCCTTTATTTTCATCTCTTTCTCCCTTCTTACTCGAGAGAAGAGCGGAGTAAGACTTGTAAGCAGTAACTGTCTTACTATCAGCGTAGGAGTAAGGTACTCCATAAACGTTTCTAGACTGATGGAAAGTTTTTTAATCTCGGAAATTGAATAAAACTCCATGATGCAATCTTTCAAACTGTTATAGCTTTCTATCTCCTCTTTGGACAATAGAGTATGAAAGTCAAAATTATTAAGCCAACTGTCCCTCAAAGCTTCCGCATCAGATTTTATGCTTGCATATAGCATACATGTATAAAAAAGTATAAGAAGTTTCACTAAAAGATAATGATGGACAGAGTACAATAAACTATAAAAAGTTCCACTAACCTTCATTTCGGTAGTGATTGTCCAAATACTGTCATCTGTATTAGATAAACCCTCAATTTTACAGAGGTCCTGCAAAAACAGTATATAGATATATAACCAAAACAGTAGATAAATTATAACCAAAACAGTAGACAGATATAACCAAAACAGTAAAGATGCTAAAGACGTCGATACCTTCTTTGTTTTCACCATCAGGCAAGTGCAAGTATACATCTCGGCACCTTGAAGATTTTTGACAACGTTGGCTTCTAACCCAAGAGGAATTACTGGCACAACCGAAATAGAGGTTAGTGTTATGGAAGGGCCTCAAAGAATTAGATATGATATGTAATAAAAAAAGGGAGGAGTCTTACAGGTTTCGATGCAAATTTCATCTTCATGATTGAGGACGATAAAGTTAGCTTTCTCAGTGGCAGCTTGCTCGGCCTTCTTAAGTGCTTGCTCGGCCTTCTTAAGTGCGGCTTCCTTAAATGCCTGAGAAATTAA